GAAATCAAGCAGCAGCCTAAGCTGGATTGCTGAGATGTTTCCTTATTGATCAAAGTGTAGGTTATTTGGTTTAATGTCATGTTATCCATCATCCAGATCCACAAAATGTCCGCCTGGAATCAAACAGACAAGATGTAAATGATTGAGGATGAGTTGGGTTTGCACGTACGTACAGTACATGCTACATTAAGTCACATAATGGAGAACAGGCGGTCAAACAGAGTGTGTGTGTGTGTGTGTGTGTGTGTGTGTGTGTGTGTGTGTGTGTGTGTATGTGTGTGTGTGTGTGTGTATGTGTGTGTGTGCGTGCGTGCGTGCGTGTGTGGCTTGATAGATGAAGGGAAGGTATTTATAGCTTCAATGTATGGATAAATACATGTATTGTGCAATTACTTTACACTGAATTTGAAACTTTGTGTACTTTTACATCAGATAATAGTTTGGAAATTTAGACGGGGAAAAAATAGGCAATAATGTAAAAGTCAAAATACTTTTCTGTTCTGATTTAGTCTTTGACATTTAATTTTTGAGTTACCTAAAGCTCCCTTTAAATGTGAATTCATACCTGAAAACCACTCATAAATCCTTAAAATGTTCTTTAACATCAGGTGGTACATGTACAATAAACAAAATGTCTCTTAGTGACGCACTATAACATCCTCATACCTCTAAATCTCTCTGCTATAGTTTTATGTGATTTATTGACGTGCCCAAAAGGGGATAAGCTACTACATTTCAGAGCCTTTAAAGCCTTCAGGCAGTGAAGATCAAATACTCGTATTGTCAGTCAATGATTTCAGACATGATGTGAAGCTCTGTCCCCGGTGACAAAATGACATCATCCATTGTGTCATGTAACGCAATAGTTGCACCATCTGACTTTCAGTTGAGTTGTTTACAGCCTTGTAGATCCGAACAAAAACGATTCGGAAAAGGAAGTGGGTGATTAAAAAAGGATATATTATACAGATTTGTAGGTGTATATCAGTATGTAGTGTCTCTACTTTAAAGAGTCCTCTCCTGCTGATGTTCAGGTGTATATCAGTATGTAGTGTCTCTACTTTAAAGAGTCCTCTCCTGCTGATGTTCAGGTGTATATCAGTATGTAGTGTCTCTACTTTAAAGAGTCCTCTCCTGCTGATGTTCAGGTGTATATCAGTATGTAGTGTCTCTACTTTAAAGAGTCCTCTCCTGCTGATGTTCAGGTGTATATCAGTATGTAGTGTCTCTACTTTAAAGAGTCCTCTCTGCTGATGTTCAGGTGTATATCAGTATGTAGTGTCTCTACTTTAAAGAGTCCTCTCCTGCTGATGTTCAGGTGTATATCAGTATGTAGTGTCTCTACTTTAAAGAGTCCTCTCCTGCTGATGTTCAGGTGTATATCAGTATGTAGAGTCTCTACTTTAAAGAGTCCTCTCCTGCTGATGTTCAGGTGTATATCAGTATGTAGTGTCTCTACTTTAAAGAGTCCTCTCCTGCTGATGTTCAGGTGTTATCAGTATGTAGTGTCTCTACTTTAAAGAGTCCTCTCCTGCTGATGTTCAGGTGTATATCAGTATGTAGTGTCTCTACTTTAAAGAGTCCTCTCCTGCTGATGTTCAGGTGTATATCAGTATGTAGTGTCTCTACTTTAAAGAGTCCTCTCCTGCTGATGTTCAGGTGTTATCAGTATGTAGTGTCTCTACTTTAAAGAGTCCTCTCCTGCTGATGTTCAGGTGTATATCAGTATGTAGTGTCTCTACTTTAAAGAGTCCTCTCCTGCTGATGTTCAGGTGTATATCAGTATGTAGTGTCTCTACTTTAAAGAGTCCTCTCCTGCTGATGTTCAGGTGTATATCAGTATGTAGTGTCTCTACTTTAAAGAGTCCTCTCCTGCTGATGTTCAGGTGTATATCAGTATGTAGTGTCTCTACTTTAAAGAGTCCTCTCCTGCTGATGTTCAGGTGTATATCAGTATGTAGTGTCTCTACTTTAAAGAGTCCTCTCCTGCTGATGTTCAGGTGTATATCAGTATGTAGTGTCTCTACTTTAAAGAGTCCTCTCCTGCTGATGTTCAGGTGTATATCAGTATGTAGTGTCTCTACTTTAAAGAGTCCTCTCCTGCTGATGTTCAGGTGTATATCAGTATATAGTGTCTCTACTTTAAAGAGTCCTCTCCTGCTGATGTTCAGGTGTATATCAGTATGTAGTGTCTCTACTTTAAAGAGTCCTCTCCTGCTGATGTTCAGGTGTATATCAGTATGTAGTGTCTCTACTTTAAAGAGTCCTCTCCTGCTGATGTTCAGGTGTTATCAGTATGTAGTGTCTCTACTTTAAAGAGTCCTCTCCTGCTGATGTTCAGGTGTATATCAGTATGTAGTGTCTCTACTTTAAAGAGTCCTCTCCTGCTGATGTTCAGGTGTATATCAGTATGTAGTGTCTCTACTTTAAAGAGTCCTCTCCTGCTGATGTTCAGGTGTATATCAGTATGTAGTGTCTCTACTTTAAAGAGTCCTCTCCTGCTGATGTTCAGGTGTATATCAGTATGTAGTGTCTCTACTTTAAAGAGTCCTCTCCTGCTGATGTTCAGGTGTATATCAGTATGTAGTGTCTCTACTTTAAAGAGTCCTCTCCTGCTGATGTTCAGGTGTATATCAGTATGTAGTGTCTCTACTTTAAAGAGTCCTCTCCTGCTGATGTTCAGGTGTATATCAGTATGTAGTGTCTCTACTTTAAAGAGTCCTCTCCTGCTGATGTTCAGGTGTATATCAGTATGTAGTGTCTCTACTTTAAAGAGTCCTCTCCTGCTGATGTTCAGGTGTATATCAGTATGTAGTGTCTCTACTTTAAAGAGTCCTCTCCTGCTGATGTTCATGTGTATATCAGTATGTAGTGTCTCTACTTTAAAGAGTCCTCTCCTGCTGATGTTCATGTGTATATCAGTATGTAGTGTCTCTACTTTAAAGAGTCCTCTCCTGCTGATGTTCAGGTGTATATCAGTATGTAGTGTCTCTACTTTAAAGAGTCCTCTCCTGCTGATGTTCAGGTGTATATCAGTATGTAGTGTCTCTACTTTAAAGAGTCCTCTCCTGCTGATGTTCAGGTGTATATCAGTATGTAGTGTCTCTACTTTAAAGAGTCCTCTCCTCCTGATGTTCAGGTTCATATCAGTATGTAGTGTCTCTACTTTAAAGAGTCCTCTCCTCCTGATGTTCAGGTTCATATCAGGATGTAGTGTCTCTACTTTAAAGAGTCCTCTCCTCCTGATGTTCAGGTTGATATCAGTATGTAGTGTCTCTACTTTAAAGAGTCCTCTCCTGCTGATGTTCAGGTGTATATCAGTATGTAGTGTCTCTACTTTAAAGAGTCCTCTCCTGCTGATGTTCAGGTGTATATCAGTATGTAGTGTCTCTACTTTAAAGAGTCCTCTCCTCCTGATGTTCAGGTTCATATCAGTATGTAGTGTCTCTACTTTAAAGAGTCCTCTCCTCCTGATGTTCAGGTTCATATCAGTATGTAGTGTCTCTACTTTAAAGAGTCCTCTCCTCCTGATGTTCAGGTTCATATCAGTATGTAGTGTCTCTACTTTAAAGAGTCCTCTCCTCCTGATGTTCAGGTTCATATCAGTATGTAGTGTCTCTACATGTTTCCATGCTTTAATGTTCAAAAATCTCTTTATTGTTCTCATACTGCCTGTGCTGCAGCACCTCTTTTCACCCTCTGTCTGAAACCAGAGCCCAGTATGCTCTGATTGGTTAGCTGGCCGGCTCTGTTGTGATTGGTCAACCGCTTAGAGATGCCCCGCCCATTAGCCTATCACGTACAATTTGTTGGAGCGCTAGCCAATAGAAGAGCAATCCAAACCATGATGTTTGTCACACAACATACTCAGGTAATTGATACAGAAATGCAAGATTCAAATGCTTTACTGCATAGAGCCTTCTCTACCGTATATTCTTCTTGCAAATGTCCAATCCCTGAACAATGAGCTGATGGACTCTGGAACAGGATGCCATTTCAACAGGACTGATACTATAGTGAAAATAAAACCTAATGAAAACAATATTCCTTACATGAAAGCAGATGTGCGTTTGTCCCTTCTAAAGGACGGCAGTAAAAACCACCATACTGTACATGCGGGCTGATTACGTTCAAAATGGTTGCTTAAGACTTTAAACCAAATTATCAGGGGTTTTAATAATTTAATCCGATAATTTTTTTTAACCACAAAGGGTTTTCAATTCAATAAAGGCTGATCCTCTCCCGACATCAACAACAACAGCCCAGGGTTAGATTTCCACTCTGCTCTGAGGGTCTCTTAGCACAAATAACCAAAACCTCTGAGACCCTTTCACCTTCAACTGCACCATCTGCATATTCACACATAATATCAACCTGATAGTCCTTCAAAACCCATTGCTCTGCTCTCATAATCCCATGTCCGGGGACTCGTAAACAGCAGCACAAGCAATTACAAAATCACTCACATGCTGGAATCAAATTAATGAAGATTAGATTAAACCTTGATTGTGTTTTTTCCCCCTTCAGGTGGAAAATGTTTGCTCAGCATGTGGAGATAAGAGTCGCTGCAGCAACAGGACGAATGCTGAGACCTGTGTTCACACATCTTGGTTAGCAGGTTGCACTCACTGGATCGTGAAATGCCCTTTTGGCCAATGCGCTTCAGTTTATGTTACAAATCAGCAGCCTGTTACATTAAGCTGTGCTCAGTGAGCCCTCCGGGGCCAGTACGTGTGCAGCAAGCAGGTAGCAGATGTGGAGGGAGAAGACATACGGAAAAAATAAGAAATGAAACATCAAATGACTTCCTCCACATCAGACCGGACAGAATAATGGTGTCATGCGAAATTGGGAAAGCACTGAATATCTAAAAGTCAAAGAGAAGTTTGCAGGAAAATAGAACCTCCAAGAAAAAGCTGAAACACCGTCATACACACACACACACTAACATTCATTCACGCTCTGAGGTGCAACAGTGAAGAAATGAAGGTCGACCTTACCTCCCAATGCTTGTTTCATTACGAAATTCATGATGATGGCTTTTAATTCCCTGCCTTCTTTGTCCGAACGATGTTACATTCAATAGTGACGGAAAAGTAGAAGTCCTTTGTGGCCAGATCTAGGAAAGAGAAGCAAAAAAATCCTTAACAAAATGAATCCTAAACACCCCAAAATGCATCATTAACACAGCAAACGCAACAAGCAATAGGGCACATTAGAATTTCTTGAAATGCAAGGATAAAGAGGTCACTAAAACCTCACTCCACACTACTACAGACACTAAATATTTAAATAGGGTTGTAGAAATACTACAATCATTTCTGAATACAGCATATCTAGGCTTATCCATATTTGTGTGTAAAGCACGTTTCTTCAATACACTGATGAAGGACACCAAGGTCAATGGTTCAAACACAACCTGAAAAACGCCAAACAGCTCAAATCTACAGACAAATCAGCAGCCAACACTCGTTTTTTCCTCACAAATGTGAATCTTTTTCAAGAACACCGGGCTTTAGTGAGAAACTGACAGGAGTAACGTGTCACGACGATCAGAAACACCCTCTCGAGTTTACAGAAAGTGCACGGTGCAAGTCCTCGTGCTTGTCAGGACAATATGCTGCCATGCACGAGGACTCCGGAAGAAACCAGTGTTGTGTATTTTTTCCTAATCATCATGTGGTAAAACTTTCCATCCTCCATTGGAGGGATGGTGGAAACAGCCATCCCAAACAAGCTGCACGTTAATTACGCAGCAAAGCATGCACGTTATCAGCTAAATATGTGCTGTGAATGTGATCAAAATCGACCTGGAGATACATTTACGTGCACAGAGACAGAGACGGTGTAGACATGCACTTCCTCGTTTGAGTCTGGTTTCAGCACCAGGGATAGCGTCCTAAACCGATGAAATGCATTGAAACATCCGCCGCAAAGCATCCATTTACCTCCGTCCGGCGACTGGTTGAAATCCTCCTCACACACTCACACACCAAACACAGGGATCAGAGAGCTGCAGCGAAGTTATCCTGCAGCGGGCAACAGCTAATCGAACTGCTTGTCCCTCCTCGCATCTCCGGCTCCTGGGGCTGGGAAAAGAAGGACGTCCTTGGTGCTGCTTCTTCCTGCACACACACACTACACGCTCACACACACACACACACACACGTAGAGAGAAAGAGGAGGGGTGTAGTGGTGGTTTGTGGATGGAGAAGCAGCTGCCGTTCACACCGTTTTGGAGAAGGAGCGACAGAAGGGATAGAGAGAGAAACGTCCCACTAACCTGACCGACAGATTGATCAATTATTCAGCCCACTGACGTCCTAAAGCCAGCGCTCTGTCTCTGAGACGGGGAGAGATTTCACTTAATACGGTAGTGCAGAATTAAGCGGGAAAATGATGGGTGTGGGGTAAACATCTCTTTGTCTTGTGTAATGTGACACAAATCTGTTAGCATACAGGAGACGTGATGGGAAGATCATGGTGTTCCTTTCTATAGGGAATTCCCGTGTGTGCCTTTTTACTACACCATATTGCAATTGCCTATGTGTTGAGTTGTTACATCATTACATTATTCTAGACAGCAGGATATATCAGTGGTGTAAACAGACAGTTTTAGGGGCTCGGGTAAAATGAACAAAGAGGCACCTCACCCTGATACCTGGTAAGATGCTTTGCCTTTAATCATCCTTGTATCCAAAAAATTAAATTCCCATACAATTAAACCGAATACTCAATTATATGTTCAGGCAAACACATTTTACTACCGGATTATGATTGCAGTTCTCTAAATACATGATTGGAACAAAACAAAAAGGCTTTGTTAGGTTTTTTTTTTAATATCATGGTTTAGCAAAACACTGTAGGCCTATGCAAAAAAGTTGATGTACAGTAATGGCGTGATCAAATGGTGTATGGACTACTTTAAGCCTTGAGTTACTGTTTTGGTATTTTTAGTCTTGTCTTTTTCGCAACCAACAATAAAACATGAGGGAGAGTTAGAACCTAATGCTCAAGACATTTTCGGTTGACCAACATGTTAATGTGAAATTTCATAAACTGAAAACACAATGTGAAAGGGTAACATTTGTAAGAGGAAACACAGAAAGCAACCAGACTGGATAATGCCCGTGTAGCGATCTGTCATTCACAAAGTAGTCCCACCCCCAACGTCAATGTGACTTAAAATGGGGCCATCAGTTACACAATGAACACCATGCTGTATTGAAGAAGACTTGCAACTACAGATTGAGACCATAAACACAGCAGGAAAATGTTTACTGAGGTGTTAAATCAATTGAGAAGAAGGGTCATTTTCTTATAGACTTCTATACAACCTGACATGATTACTATCACCATTGAATGAATGAATGGATGAATGAGTGATGTTAACCTTTAGCAGAGACAGTTTCTCTGAATGGATGAATGAATGAATGAGTGATGCTAACCTTTAGCAGAGACTGTTTCTCTGAATGAATTATTACAACCAGTGGAGTCGCCTCCTGGATATCAGAGGAATTGCAAGTCCAGGACTCATCCGCAGTGGAATCACTTTTTAGATCGCTTACAATATGTATTATACGTCTTTGAATTTACTGAAGTCATTAAACGGAAGTCAATATTCACATTTGGTTTCACACAGGATACCATCTACAATTTTCAGACAAACTGTATTCTTACAGCATTCAACAGCAAGTCTAGTGTTTGTTATAATATTATTACAGTCTAACACTCCTATAGAGAATAAGAAAATGGGTCTGATTTCATTCACAAAGGCACATGTGTCTATGTGTACTCAACATTCCTGTAAATATAAACAGTTATGTTTACTCATAATATGAAGTCAGCCTCCACTTGAGTCATAATATATAGCGTGATCTTTACGAGGCTCTCGACTGTTGTTGCACATGAAGATCTTTTAATATGTTATAGGGAGTACTACACAGAATGTGAAAGAATTGTGTAATATCTTACGATATGTGGGTCTTCAAAGTGTCTGTGAAACTGACTCATCATGAGCTTAGAGACTACAACAACTTTAAGAGAAAGAAGTACAAACTGAAACCTGGAGTTTGGAAGATGTGAGCATGTACCAAACAGGGGAAGTCTTACACAACATACTTTCAATTGCTTTATAGGGAATACAGGATCTAAGAGTTTCAACCATAATAGAAGCTGCAGTAAGTGAGGATATCTCGGCCTGAGCTGCATCATTTTTACCATGTTTCCTACAAAATCCTTTGGACAAAAGTTTAGAAAATTAAGGTGTAAGGATTCAACACAAAAAGGGGCCATTCCCAATGTCCTCGCTTGGACAAATTGTCATTGCTGCATTGTTATGGTTGCTTTTCAATTATAAACTTCCCTCATTCACTCAAGTTTGTACATGATGTCTCTTATTATTTGGCCAGCAATGTGTTCTGGATGGAGATATTGACAAGAAAATATTCAGCCTCCAGTAAATTGTGGAGCATTTTGTTCACAATCTGAATGCCTGAATCACAAACAACTCTCACGGCACTTTCATGCAAACATGTTTACTTTTGGGTCCGTGCAGTTTCGATGGAAACTAGCCTTGTTTTTTTTCAAATAATGGATGTAGTCTATGAAATATGTCCAGAGACATTTCTTTGATCTCCAACAGCTTTACACTGCACTCTTTAATTTAACATACTATAAAACACTGTCATATATCATGCATACAATATGTACCGACCTGTTTCACCACTTACATCTAGAAGCTATATCAAGATTCAAACCCAGCATACAATTTGTAAGGCTACTCCACCACAACAAATGGAAAAATGGTCATCATGTAAAAAGAAAAGGGTAAAAGGCAAACTGTTCCCTGATCTTGATTCCTTGCAGAAATATGTTTTCTTATGGAATATTTCATATACATAAACATGACGAACGAATTATTTAGCAACAAAATAGCGTATACATTAAAGTAACTTCCACAGAAAGTATAGTAAAGCCTTTGACTCTGTTCAGAGGTTACAATGGAGTGCAACATTTGACTTTCTTTAGCACATACATCATAGAAGCAGGTTATTTTTTGAAAAAAGGGTATTATATTACACATAGAATCAGCCCTGTACTGATTTGGGGCTGTTTATTCCATAATGCACTTAGCCCTTTGTGTTCACACTTCATTATATGTTTCCCTATCAGTAGCTTGCGTGCTGGGAGGTTTTAAACTGTAAGGCTGTTTTTTACAGTGACACCAAATATGATTCAGTATTAAACTTTATCCTGGTAGAAAATGTGTTCTGCAAATGTATGCAAATCTGTGACACTAACATTTCCCATCCTACACCCTTCGAGCTGTATCTCATTTAGCATCCCATTCAGCACACACTGATGCTCTCTGGTTGGCATGATTTGTATGTAAAACCGTGCCAATTTGAGGCCCTTCACCATTCAGCTGTGTAACAGGGACTTGACATGTTTCCTGGAATTAGGCAGCATGTAGAGATTTTTAATCCCCCCTCTCATTTTATCTCCACCGTTCACTTCATTTGAGAAGTATCACGAACAAAAGCATGAACAGTGTGCCAAACTCAGGTAATTAGACTTCCTCCTCTCTCCACCGAGGAATTCTCCCCAAATACTGAAGCTCAGACGAGGAACAGTTAAGACATTTCAAAACATGTTTCTGCTTGGTGTTAAATGCAACTGCACATATATGAAGTTAAACAGATTATCTTCATAAGAGCATATTATGCTAATGTTCAGGTGTATATCAGTATTGAGTGTCTTTACTTTAAAGAGTCCTCTCCTGCTGATGTTCAGGTGTATATCAGTATTGAGTGTCTTTACTTTAAAGAGTCCTCTCCTGCTGATGTTCAGGTGTATATCAGTATGTAGTGTCTCTACTTTAAAGAGTCCTCTCCTGCTGATGTTCAGGTGTATATCAGTATTGAGTGTCTTTACTTTAAAGAGTCCTCTCCTGCTGATGTTCTGGTGTATATCAGTATGTAGTGTCTCTACTTTAAAGAGTCCTCTCCTGCTGATGTTCAGGTGTATATCAGTATGTAGTGTCTCTACTTTAAAGAGTCCTCTCCTGCTGATGTTCAGGTGTATATCAGTATGTAGTGTCTCTACTTTAAAGAGTCCTCTCCTGCTGATGTTCAGGTGTATATCAGTATGTAGTGTCTGTACTTTAAAGAGTCCTCTCCTGCTGATGTTCAGGTGTATATCAGTATGTAGTGTCTGTACTTTAAAGAGTCCTCTCCTGCTGATGTTCAGGTGTATATCAGTATGTAGTGTCTGTACTTTAAAGAGTCCTCTCCTGCTGATGTTCAGGTGTATATCAGTATTGAGTGTCTTTACTTTAAAGAGTCCTCTCCTGCTGATGTTCTGGTGTATATCAGTATGTAGTGTCTCTACTTTAAAGAGTCCTCTCCTGCTGATGTTCAGGTGTATATCAGTATGTAGTGTCTCTACTTTAAAGAGTCCTCTCCTGCTGATGTTCAGGTGTATATCAGTATGTAGTGTCTCTACTTTAAAGAGTCCTCTCCTGCTGATGTTCAGGTGTATATCAGTATGTAGTGTCTGTACTTTAAAGAGTCCTCTCCTGCTGATGTTCAGGTGTATATCAGTATGTAGTGTCTGTACTTTAAAGAGTCCTCTCCTGCTGATGTTCAGGTGTATATCAGTATGTAGTGTCTCTACTTTAAAGAGTCCTCTCCTGCTGATGTTCAGGTGTATATCAGTATGTAGTGTCTCTACTTTAAAGAGTCCTCTCCTGCTGATGTTCAGGTGTATATCAGTATGTAGTGTCTCTACATGTCTCCATGCTTTAATGTTCAAAAAGCTCTTTATTTTTCTCATACTGCCTGTGCTGCAGCACCTCTTTTCACCCTCTGTCTGAAACCAGAGCCCAGTCTGCTCTGATTGGTTAGCTGGCCGGCTCTGTTCTTATTGGTCAAGCGCTTAGAGATGTCCCTTAGCCTATCAAGTACAATGTGTTGGAGCGCTAGCCAGTAGAATGTGAAATGCTGTCTTTGATTGTGTACTGTAATGTGTTTTTGTTTGTGCTCATGTGCTATTGCATGTTTTTATTGTAATGCCATCGACCTGACAGGTACTGGAGACTAACATGAGGCTAAATATGTCCCTTTTACATGATGGACTCAAGTGCTC